ATCAATTTCTGGTCTCCAATGAACCTTGAACATGTTTAAAGTCGCAAGTCCCAATGGGTCCAATACAGCTGCTCCAAGACCTACAAAGAAACTGCATCTCTGGAGCAGCTCAGTAATAATAGACTGCATGCCCTTAATGTTGCTTAGAAACTGGAGATTGTTCGTGCAGCAGGAAAGGATCTGTCCTTACTATTCTGTAGAAAGAGAGAGGGAGGAATGTGCTTTATATAAAATTGGGTTTTCATAGTATAGAATAGTAATTTATTGTTACATTTGTTACATGTGCAAAATGCAGTAAAATGTGTATTCATCACCATAATTATTCTGGCACTATTTTAATTACATAAATTATAAAAAAAAGAAATAATGCATGCAAAGTTAAGATGAATTTCAATTTTTGTTCCAACTATGGCTTCTTGATTTCATAAGCAGCTACGAGATGTGCCGTCCTCCACAGCTACTAAAGCTGTCCCCGAGGCTGCAACATCAAGGAGAAAGCAACATTGAAGCAGCCCCCGTCGCCACTGAATCGACCCAGAATGCCACCTCTGCCAAAGCAGCTTCATCGCCAGCCGCCAGCCACTGCTATAACCAGGAGACTGTCCCAACTCTCGAGGACCAGGGCCCATCTCAACTTCCAAGGACTGACAGACCGTCCAAATTAACGCCCAAAGATCGAGGGATCATTCTCTCTGCTGCCTTTGCAGATGCCGCCGAAAAACCAAAGGAAAAGCAAAGGATCCCAACCCATCGACATTGGAACAGCTGTGATCGCCACAGCCGCAAGGAATGGACTGGACGAACCATTCAACAGCTCTCCACCACCGCAGCAGCAGAAAGAAGAAAAAATGAATTTGATTCAAAAGTCAAATGAAGAACAATAATATTTTTAAGAGCGATGTGGTCAGTCACGTGAGACAGCATGGATGTGCGGGGAGCCTGGACACCACCTCTGCCAGAGACTCGACCTTTCTTCCTCTTTAACTAGCCTTCCATTGTCCCTGTGTTAAACCAAGCAACCTGTGGTGACGTTTTCAGGGAATGAATTCCCCCATGAACGGAGAGACCTTAAATCACTCTATTACTTAAAAATATACTACTGGGCTGCACAGATGTCACATTTTACCATCTGGCATGAATAAACCACAATACCTTATTCTGGAAAAGTAGGCATGCCAGTCAAAGCTCTTTGTTCACCTTCCAACTAACAATCTTTCCCTCCCATGCATTACCTGTGGTTACGTTATACCCAGCGGTGGAACTCACGACAGGGATCTAGACGTGATGTGAAATGAATGTAATACTCCTCAAATCTGAGGTTTTAACTCTCAATCCGCAGTGCTATTATAGCTTCAGAAAAGCCCTTAATTTCAAATCTGGTACAGCATTCTGAAGAGGTTCAATCTGTTGTCATAAGACTGACTTGCAATTGAAGCCTCATGGTCAAGTAACGGTACAACTTATTTTGCTATATGCAGATACATTTCCTGCTGGATACATTCAACGAAGTTAGAATTAATTTTACCTCACTTGACTTCACAAGTTACACAATAAATAAGCATGTAATATTAAAACACAGTTGAAATTTTGTATCCATAAACAATAATAAACATGGATTATTCCGCTAGACTTGGGCCAGTGAATGAATTTCGTCCATTAAGAAAAAGATTTACATTTCTAGAGTGCTATTAGGCAGTAGTTTTGTATTTTTGGGCAGTAAGTATAGCCTTTATGTTTTCCCAGTCATGAAGGAATTCTTCAAAATAATTCTGTACCCAAATGCTACTTGCACTTGTGTTCTCCAAACATATCAATCCATTGAACACAACAATAACTCCTTTTCACAATCACACCATACTTTTGTTATGAAACTCTGAAATGGTCAGTAAGACTTCCTGGACTCTCTGTGTTATTGTTGTGCTGACAATATTAACATATCAGAAAATGAGTCTTCTAACTTAAGCATTCACATTTTTCATCTTAATTTAAACATAATATAACACATTAGAGGTTAATGAGTTGCTCATATTCAATTGATAATTTACAGTTTAAATGTTTGAAAAGTTACAATTTTGAAGTTGCTCCAAAAGATTGTGCCAAAATCACCCAGATTATAAGTCTTTAATAAACTATCCCTGTAACATTAGAGTAGAACTGTGACTGATTCAATTTAGGTTCAAATAAAATGTTATGACTAACTTGACTACTGTAAAACGTCCCTAAGGAATGGAAATACTTTGTGACAGCTAGCTTGAATCCATCCCACCTTTCAACAGAAAATAAAGCTGATTGCAGAAGTCATGTGGAGAGAGACATATTTGTCACATAATCATTTTGACACACCTTTTTTTGGAATATACCCATTGATTATCTTTTTATCCTCATTCTTTCATTTGGAACCGTTGGAAATGCAATGTCTGTCGTATGTTGTGGTGTCAACCATTGGTGGCTTATGACTTGGGCAGACTGCTACCACCAATCCTGCTTCTACTACTTTTAACCAAAATCAATTAACCAAATTAAACAGAAAATAGGATCTGCAGCACCTAAACAGCTTTGTAACAAAGGTCAAAAATCACTGAGGAAACTTATAAGATATTAGCTATTATTCTTGGGGGTGAGAACGCACTGTATTCCCTATTCACTGCCCACGGAAAGCCTGAATTATGCCATCAGACATCACGTGCTCACTCTCCAAGCAATCCCCCTTTCTATGCTGAGTCTAATAAGCATTGGGAGAGGAGTCTTGTGGAGTCTAATGAGAAGAGGAACTTATCTTAAAGACCAGATCCAACATTGCATGCTAGCAATAGATACAAGCTACATTGACTCGTTAGGCAAAATTACAAAAACCACTAGAAGGCAGAGCTGATGCAAATGTCTCTGTTGTGACCTCATGCTGGTCTGCTTTTTCTCCAACTCTGTGATGTCATCAGTTTGCATGGAACTTAATGCAGCATCAATATTAATTCTTTCACAATCTTACACCTTTCCCTGTCCTGCCCTTCTGTTTCACTTGTCCTCATGCCCAACTTTTCAACAGCACAAAATCATTGAATTTTCCACCTGTTTTCAGTTCTGAAAAAGAGTCATTGGACATGAAACATTCATTCTATTTATCTTTCCACAAAAGCTGTCAGATGTGCTGAGTTTTTGCAGAATGTTCTCTTTTTATTTCAGATCTCCAACATCCGCAGTATTTTGCTTGTCATTTAGTGGAAAATTGGAGGCAATTTTAACCTAACCCAACCACTTGGGAAACTGATGGGGTTAGGTGCACCCTTGGTTTTAGATATTTTCCGAACCAAACTGTTCAGAAATGCTGCCTACCCCAGAGATAGCATCACTGCATCACAAGGGCCCTATAGTCAACACTTCATGACATACTTCTGGAGCAGGTGGAACTTGAACTCAGGCTTTCTAGCCCAGAGATAGGGACACTACCACTGCACCACATAGGTCACTTGCTCTTGCATCATTCCACTCACCCTGTAAATTTTCTACTTAATTAGTTAATTTCAAACTACATGTAAGCCTGTAGAAAAAGGAGAGACAGAATAATATTATCCCTGTGAAATTATAAACACAGAAACAGCTTTTTTGCGAGTACAAAACTGACATCTAAAAAAGCAGTTACAACTCAAGTTGATTAAATTTTAGTACACAGTTGACAATTTATGTAGCCAGATTGAGGAGACTGGAAATTGGTAACAGGATAAAATGTATAATGAACCAACTACGCAAGTTTGGCATAATGCTTATGTTTAAGGCAAACAATTAAGTAAATTTTTAACTATAAGTAAGTTAATTCTATTTACTCCAACCTGAATCTCCTCCTTCTTTTATATCAGACATACAGAACCTCTGCCAAGATTCTTAGCACTGTAACCTGGCAATTAATCACATACTTGCTCACATATACAAAGCAGTGGTTCAGTAAAATTCCTGAATTTATATCAGATCTTAACTGACTGAAAATTTACATATGAAATATTATGTGCCACAGGACTTAAAGTCTGTTTGGAGTTGGCACATTCTCCCTGTATCTGCGTGGGTTTCCTCTGGGTGCTCTGGTTTCCTCCCACAGTCCAAAGATGTGCACTTTAGGTGCATTGACTACGCTAAATTGCCTGTAGTGTCGAGGGATGTGCAGGTTAGGTGGGGCCAGCCATGGGAAATTCAGGATTACAGGGATAGGGTAAGGGGGATCGGTCTGGGTGGGATGCTTTTGGAGGGTTGGTGTGGACTTGATGGACTGAGTGGCCCGCTTCCACCCTGCAGGGATTCTTTTCCCCACTCTTTATAATCCTTGTTGAGACCTAAAATGTACTTTCTTTTTTTTTAAATTTGGAATGCTTCAGAGATATTCTCATGAAAACTTTTAAAAATATCTGAGATTGCATTATTCCACAACATTCTTCACTCAGAGTGAATCAATACTATTTTGATATCGTTATAATTTAATTTTCATGCATAAGGAGGGTCTTGAAGGAATATGACCCAAATCTGGTTTTCCTCATGGCCCCACTTGTATCCACTTACATTACACCACTTTTGCAGAAATGTTGTAGTAACTTGCTGAAGGTTAACATTTTTAGAAATCCGGCCATAATGTTTGGCCCAACCTTCTGGTCATCCCATTTTAAAAAATCCCGAATAATTTTTCTTTACTATCTGAGGAAAGTATTTGCAATCTATTTAATCTGCATTCTTTAACCTGACATATTGGTCATTTCAATTTATTGACAGTTTCTTTTCCCCCTGATGGATGTCTCCAATATGTGTGCAAAAATGCTTTGATTGCTTTGATTTGCACCTATGAATTTTTATGGCTGCAGAAGTAGTTCAGCTTAAGATAGTACAAATTTGTGGCTTGTTGGAATTTTCCAATTTTTCACTTCTTTGTCTCGCTCAGTTGATGGAAAGGGTAGTTTTATCACAGCTTGGTCTAAACAATTTTTGTAATTGATGTTTTTTGACCAGATTAATTTACATTCCAGGTGCCTCAAATGTGCTGATGCTCCTTGTCAGAAGAGTTGTCCAACTAACCTGGACATAAAGTCATTTATCACAAGCATTGCAAATAAGGTAGGTACATTTGTCTATCTACAAAGGATAAATGATGTGAAATAGGGCTAAACCAAAACTACAGCCCTAAAGCAAAGCTGCAATAGCTTAACAAGTTCAGGAGATTGGCGTGCAGTTTCCACAAGACGATATTACAATGGTAAATTCCAGGTCAAACATATTTATTTCATTTTTGTATCAAAGACTGGATATTTTGCTCATGACGTTCAGAGTTCACGTGGACTTAAAAAACCTTGTGGTGTTAAAATATTTACTTTTGTATGAAAATCTAAACCAGATGTGATCCCTTCATTTACATGAGAGGTGCGGATCTTATGTGGCTTCATTTTTATTTATCCAAGCTGATTAAACATGAAATCTAGCAACTGATAAACAAAAGCCTTGATGCTGGTTGTTCAAGTTGACAATGCAAGGAAGTAGTTTTTTAAATCTTTTAATAAACTTCTAGTATTTAAATTAAAAAATGTCAAATCTCCCAAACAGTCTTACACACTCCAAATCTCCCCTTTCAGGCCATAAAGCTTAAGCCTTTGAGGATTATGTGCCTCAATGTTAGGCAACTGTAAAGACAATCCTGGACAGCCCAGGGAAGTCGGTACGATCTAATAAAGACTTGCAGTCAATGTCGCTTCTCTCTCCTCTGCAAGTTTGAACAATTTTTTTACCTGGACATCTGGTTTCACAAGTACACTAACATAACCCCTTCGTAGAACATAGAACATAGAACAGTACAGCACAGTACAGGCCCTTCGGCCCATGATGTTGTGCTGACCTATTATCCTACTAAAATCAATCTACCCTGCATACCCTACGTTTTAGTATCCTCCATGTGCCTATCCAAGAGTCGCTTAAAAGTTTCTAAAGTATCTGACTCCACTACCACTGCCGGCAGTGTGATACCTGATTACTCCTTCAACACTTAAACTGTAAAACAAAATCTCCTTTGATTAACTATTGGGATGACAAACGCCACTATATTTTAAATAAAAACCAAAAGAACTGCGGATGCTGTAAATCAGGAACAAAAACAAAATTGCTGGAAAAGCTCAGCAGGTCTGGCAGCATCTGTGAAGGAGAAAACAGAGTTAACGTTTCGGGCCCGGTGACCCTTCCTCAGAACTGATGGTAACTGGGAAAACGCCAGGTTATATGCAGAAAATAGGGAGGTGGGTGGGGTAGGGAGTAAACGATAGGATAGAGCCCAAAGAGAGAGAAAGACAGTTGGACAGACAAAGGAGTTGCTAACGATCAGGTTGGGAGGGTGAATAGTTGTTAATGGGGACTGTTAGTGACTAACGACAGGAGGTGTGTAATGGCAGGCTATGTGGTAACAAGGCCTGGTGTGTGGGGTGGGGGGCTGGGACATGGGAGAGTTTAGGCCCTAAAATTATGGAACTCAATATTGAGTCCGGAGGGCTGTAGGGTCCCCAAGCGGAAAATGAGGTGTTGTTCCTCCAGCTTGCGTTGGGCTTCACTGGAACACTGTAGCGAGCCAGAGACAAAGATGTTGGCCAGGGAGCAGGGTGGTGCATTGAAGTAGCAGGCAACAGGTAGTTCAGGGTCTTTTTTGTGAGCAGAACGTAGATATTCTGCGAAGCGGTCGCCAAGTCTACGCTTCATTTCCCCAATGTAGAGGAGACCACATTGTGAGCTGCGAATGCAGTAGACTAGATTCTGGGAAGTGCAGGTGAAGTGTTGCTTCACCTGCAAGGTATGTTTGGGCCCTTGGATTCTGGGGAGGGAGGAGGTAAATGCGCAGGTGTTGAACCTTCGCCGGTTACAGGGGAAGGTGCCTGAGGGCTGTGGGGAGGTGTTGGGGGTGAAGGAAGTCTGGACCAGGGTGTCCCAGAGGGAACAGTCCCTTTGGAAGGCGGACAAGGGAGGGGAGGGGAATATGGGTCTGGTGGTGGCATCTGGCATCTGATGATCTTCTGGATGTGGATGCTGGCGGGATGATAGTTAAGTATAAGGGGAACCCTATTGCTGTTGTTGGAGGGAAGAGAAGGGGTGAGGACGGAAGTGCAGGCGGTGGATTGGACCTGGTTGAGGGCCCTGTCGACAATGGAGCTGGGGAATCCTCGGTTGAGGAAGAAGGTGGACATTTCACAGGCTCCCTTGTCGAAGTTGGCCTAATCTGAACATATGCGACAAAAACGGAGGAACTGAGAGCATGGGACGGAGAAAGAAAGAGAGAGAGAGAAAAAGAACGAGAAAGGAAGAGACAGAGAAAGAGTGAGTAAGAAAGCGAGAGAGAGAGAGAGAAAGCGAGAGGGAGAGACTGAGCAAGTGAGCGAGAGAGAGAGAGAGAGCAAGAGAAAGCGAGAGAAGAAGATGGAGAACAATTATCTTTATCTTTTATTATCTTTTGGTCACCTGTGGCAAACATTGTTTCCTAACAGCTAAATCCATCCCTCTGCCATGCTCTTTCACTGCTTGCCCAATCCATTTGCAGCATTAGTGTCCTATATGTCTCTTAAGTTGAACTTGCAACCCCATTTTCACTCTTGTTTCCAACTACACAGTATTTCTCACCTGCTTCCTTGCCTCAACCTATTTGCTTCTGGAACCTTTATCCATTTTTTGCACCTCTTGTCTTGTGTCATGGTCGGAGGGCATGTAGAGAAATCCCAGAGAATACTATTCTCTTCGATATTTATATGTTGTTATTGCCTTCAAAACTAGACAAGCTTGGACATCCTGGTAAAATGGCTGAAGCTGATCACATGACCATAATTCCAGAGGCTTTAGCTAAAGCTGATACAAAGAACATGAGCTGTCTGCTTCCAGTCAGCTCTGAACAAGGAGAAACATCAAAGACCATTGTATTATTTGTAAGTGGAAACTCAAATCAGGGAGGGAAAGATGCACTGCTAGCTCAGTGTCCTTCCAGTTAGCCCACCAAAGTAGACCGTCAGCATCTGAAATTGCTGTCTTTATCACATGACTGAAATCTGAGCTTGTTAAGTTGCTTAAATGTACAATTCTGGAACTGTACACCAATTGCTGTATTAACATCTCAAGAAGTACAGCTCCAGACCTTAGAAGCTGAAATGTTTGTTCTCCATCTTCCTCTCTCGCTCTCTCTTGCTCTCTCTCTCTCTTGCTCACTTGCTCGGTCTCTCCCTTTCGCTTTCTCTCTCTCTCTCTCCCTTGCTCTCTCGCTTGCTCTCTCTCTCTCTCTTTCTCTCTCAAATGTTTCATGTCCAGAAAGATTCCCTAACTTCACCTGCTAAACTAGATTAATTCTCCCAGTAAAATGATCAGGTGCAAGTAAAGTTTCTGTCATAGAAAAAGAATTTGTTCAGAGTAAGTAAGGAAATAAATTGCCTCAGTCAAAGTGTGTAGCTTGTGAAACTTCCAGACCAAAAATGTCAGTTAGAACTTTGCAGATTATTAAAATACTGAAAATGTTGCAGCTCTCAGCTGTGTAAGTCACCAAAGGATTTGGACCTCAGAGCTCATTGGTCTGAAATTGAAAGGAAGCAGTTAAGTCAAAACTAAACAAAATAAAAAAAAAAGAACTGCAGAAGCTGCAAATCTGAAACAGAAACAGAAGCAGCTGGAGAAACTCAGCAGGTCTGGCAGAACCTATGGAGAGAAGGCAGAGTCAACATCTCAGGTCCAGTGACTTTTCTTCAGAACAGATCTTTAACAATTCTTTTCCTTGGAACTGGATTGCAGATGAATGGCAGTTGAAAGGGCAGAAACAGTCAAGACAGGTGGTGGACTGCTTGACATTTGGTTCATAACCCCTTTTGAGAAGAGGATCCTGACTCTGACTGCCCAAGCAACTGACTGAATGTGTCCAAGCCCCTGTACTGGTATCAGCAGCTGTCCTTGACTTACTGTATTAGGACACCCTGACCAAAGGTTATTTCCCTTGCCTTGATTAAGGATTGCTGACAACCATGACAATCTTCCTGGCTTTGTGTCTGCAGTAAATGGCACAGCAGTACAACAATCCAGCAGCCCGGTATCTCTAAAGGAGATGCATAGATACAGATAGCAAATCAGAATCCCATCTACTTCTCAACACCATCAGTTGATAGTTAGTTAGAATTCACTAACTCATTGGAGTTTAGTAGTGGAGACCTTGTCGAAACATAAAAGATTCTTAGGGTGCTGACAAGGTAGATGTGGAGAGGTGGTATACCATGTGGGACAGTCAAGGATCAGAAGGCATAATCTCAGAGTGAAGAGTCATCATTCATTTTAGATAGAGATGAGGAGCACTTTGGTTTGCTGTGCATTTTGAAACCTTTCAGACTGAGTTATGTATGGATAAAAGTTATGAGGGATAAAGCAGGAAAGTGGAGTTGAGGATTATCAGATTAGCCATGATCTCATCGAGTGGAGGAGTGGACTAAAATGACCGAATAGCCCACCTCTGCTCCTAAGTCTTACGATCTGAAGAAATTGCTACTCTATCAAATTTGTTGGTTTGACTTAACTGCCTCTATTCAGTTCTGGTCCCATTGGTTTGGAAGCCATTCCCTTGGCCTCACTCAAACTGTACAAAAGCTTCCAAACTAAATTTTTAAAGATCTTGTTCATCCTAGATTTTGTGAAATTGATAGCTTAATGTTTTCTTTCTCTTGACACTAACCCACACCATGTAAGTAAACTTTTATCAACACACGAGGAAACTTACTCTCCTGCTTTTTGACACATACTGCTTTAAAACAATGGTTCTGGAAAGAGTGACCTTGTTAATTTTCAATCTCTTTGACAGAAATAGAACAACATATGCCACAATTTTGAAACCTAAGTGCTCATAAAAATGTGACATTGAGTCATGTAAACTAATTCCAAGAAATTCAAAAGTTGTGACTTCCTTCCTTCCCTTTCTCTTTCTTTCTACCTTGTTTGCGTGATATGTGAATGAACATTTTGAATGTTTTGTTCCATCTTAAAGGATTTTGCTGTAGATTTCTTTCAACAGTTGTATCTGTAAACAAGAGTTTGAGAAACATTATTCAGTGTTCCTCAGGATGGGATGC